CAGTATAGTCGAGTTCCACGATTTTCCACACCTCTAAAATAGCATCCAAATACGTCAAACGTTTCGTCTCACACTGCTATATATACCATAAGCTCCCAAAACCTCTCAACTTTTTCTTTAAGTTTTTACAGATTTGACAAAAACCTCTGAGGATATCGAAGTATTTCACAGTTTTATCAGTCGAAAATTAACTTTTTCGTAAAAATAAGGCCATATTCGGAATCAGCGTGAAAAACTGCATCGAATGGTGTATAACTCATTTAGTCTCGGTCGCTTGATTTTGAATTCTAGAAATTTCGCAGTTTTTGAGATTTACACAAACAATTTCGTGCTGAAAATTTGACTTTCAAGATAAAGTAACCTGAACGNTCTTATAGGTTTTCGACAATGCTCTTTCCAGTGGCATCATTTTTAAATATTGAGAAAGTTTTCTGAAGGGTTTTCCAGAGACTGGATCTCTGGAAAGCTCCTTAAAAAAGCTTTTCAAAGCCCAACTCTCATGCCATTAGAGAGAGGATCATGAAAAACCTGTAAAAAAATGGTTCATGAAATTTCAGTTCACTCATAAAGCTAAAGTCCGCCTGCTCTAGCAAAAAATGCCACTGTGCGAGTGGCTTCTCTATTCCAATGAAACCATGGATCCTAAATAGGTCATTAAAGAAGAATATCGTGTTCCAAATGAAAATAAACATAGTGTATCAAAGAATTGATTTTTACCGGCACAATATTTTATCTATTACTAGTAGCAGTGGTTTGTCCAAATATCCGTCTCTTTCCAAACTGTTCAAAAATATACTAATAATCACGCATGGAAATCCTGACGTTGAAAGAGGTTTTAGTATAAATGAAAATATCGTTACAGAAGAACGTACAAATATTCGAAAGATCAATTAGTGGACTACGATTGACGTACGATGCTGTCAAGTTTTTTGATTTGGGATCTTCACATCAAGTAATGCTGCTGTATTTATCGATAAAGAAACAGATCAACGAAAGAAACGTGATGATGAAAAGATAACTTTATTCTGGAAAGAACAGAACTTAGTGTCAAAACAGAAGAAATTACAAGATAAACAATCCAAAGCTCAACTGATTATTCGTGAAGGACGTCAATGTTTGGAAAATTCATTAAAACATGATAATCATCTATAGCGCAGGTTGCCAACGTTCATATTGGTGGAGGAGATGATAAACTAACGTATTAGTCAAGAATTAATCAAAATTACTGAAGAACTCGTAAAACTTCAACAGAAACGGAGAGATACGATCACTCATCAAGAACAGATTGTTCCCAAGAAACAGAGACTGACCACAAGTGACTGAAAGACAGTACATGCAAACGTATTTTACATTATTCAATTGATCGATTATAGTCTATATTAGACAAACCTCTTAACAATGTAGTAAAAGAATGAGTATAGATTTTTTGCTTGTTTCTGAAGTGTTATTTTTATAATGAACGTGAATAAACCATAAGTGATTTATAGTAGGAAAGTATATATTTGTGTAGTTCAATCTGCTGTTTTACTTTGATATTATTATCTAACGGAGCTTTACCGCTTACTTCCTTTGTGTCACCATATGATCAACCTCAGTCGCGCTCATCTATTATGTGAAATTAGTGTTTTTAGTTTTGGACTTACATTATATCCTGCTTTTTTGGTGGCGTTCGTCCCATCAAGATCTTGCAACTCCTCTTTAATTTCTCTTTTTAAAAAAAGCTCCGTACGCAGCCAGATCATCGTGGACAAATCAGATAAATTAGAAGAACAACCAGCTCAGCGGTCACCGTCACTAACAGTTGAAGGAGCAACTCAATCAGTAGCACCAGCAGCAACAGAAAGCGCAGTTACTATTCATCATCAATCACCGGAAGACAAGAATGAAAAAGATCTACTGGCTCCTAAATCTAGATCCTCAACAACCAACTTATGAAGTTATTTCCGAAGACGAACCTCCAGAATTTCCACTACCATTAATTGTTGGCAACCAGTTGATAATTAATTGTCAAGAGGAATAATTATTAATAACTGTTCCAACTGAATCTTCTCTAGAATTACCTTCTTCAATCATGGAATCATTCGACCAATAGCCATGAAAACCTTCAAGACCATCATCTCCCTTTCAACAACAACAATTACAATCTGAAATTCGTGTAAACCGAAATCGCCGAAATATACCACATCCGGCGAAGTAAGCCGTGCTCGAAATCGTCAAAATATGTTGAGAAAACGTGCTTAAGAATGTGAAACTGAAATTATATTAGTGGCCATTGACCATCGATTTACAATGCCAGGTATCAGAAACATTTTAGACTAAGCCAATGTGACATATACAAATGTCAACACATCATGATACAATTGCTTTGTACGTTTGGTCTAAAGACACTGGATCAATTGACACAATATTCACGATTTATAACACGTTATTGGTTTTCAACAAGTCATTATGAAGATCTCTATGGAAGTAGCAATTATCATTTAAATAGTGAACATCGATTCAATCAATAAGCAGCAGTGAAGAATCACCAGAAACAGTATGAACGTCAAAACCATCTCTCAAGTGCATGTTATATATCAAAAACAAGATAATAAAACAACATAGAATAACAAGGAACAGTTCTAGAATGAGAGAGAATAGTGTTGAGCTGTTCAATTTGCCTTTTGAGCTTTTGTTTTAAATGTTAGGAGAAGCAACATTTTTCAAGACGAAGGGGGCTGTTAGCGGCTATTCAGTTGTAACACTATGTTGGTTATTTATTCTTTCCTGTCACTTGAATACTCACGTTGAGTTAACACACTTTTTCACAGATACGTGTTATTTCCTTGTCATTTCTCGATTCTAGGCAGCCACTGGGTAGTTACGGCCGTCCTTAGGTAGACTGTATTGTTTATAGAGTGGATACATTGTCCAAAGCATGGTAGTGCTAAAGAGGATGATGTTTTCATTCTTTTCTACATGCATTAGTACAGAATAGGAAACAATACCTAATATTCAATATGGTGTGAAGCCATGCGTTCACTCAATACGGATTGCAGTGTATGATAAAGTGTGCACAATACAATTTTACATGCAAACTCAAAATGAGGTTATCTTCAATTATCCTTATAGTACTACTCATCACATGTGTGAAAAGTGATAACTGGAATGGATGGAGTTTAAATGACAACAATGATCGTTTTCAACAATCATCCTTGCCAGTCAAAGTACCGTCTGATCATCCAGAACCTGCACAGTTCAAGGTGAAATGGTATTTCAAAACTGATGGACCAGTCTCAGCAACGCCGACTGTGTTTGATAATCGAATCTATATTCCTGATAACAACGGCTCGATATATAGTTTGACATTGGACGGTAAACTGATATGGAAAGTATCTGTAGAGAAATTATTGGGTATCAAGGGTTATAATACACGAAACAGCCCAGTTGTTGCCAAAGATATGATTATAATGGGGACACAAACTGGCATCGATACAGATATGCAGATAAATAAAGTGGGAGCAAGTGTGTTCGCATTGAAACGGTCCACTGGCAAATTGATATGGACAAAAGTAGTCGACAGTCATCGTGCTGCCATCATTACCGCCAATCCGGTTGTTGTCGGTAATCGAATACTGGTCGGTGTGTCGTCTAAAGAAGAAACATTGGCGGACGATCCAAAATACAAATGTTGTACATTTCAAGGCTCCGTTCTTGCATTAAATTTAGCTGATGGAACGTTAATTTGGAAAACAAAAATGCTGCCAGATAACAAGAATAAAACGAACGCTTATTCGGGTGCAGCAGTATGGGGTTCCGCTTTCTCAGTTGATCGCAAAAGAAATACAATCTATGTGGCTACAGGAAATAACTATAGACTGCCAAAATCGATTCAGAAATGTATTGGTAAAACAAAAAAGATCAGGCGTTATTTCGTTGCCGATCCGTGTCAAGAACGTGAGAATTATGGTCAGTCGGTATTAGCTTTAGATATTAGCACTGGTGTAGTGAGATGGGTGCAGTCGTTAGGCCCCATCAATGCATTTACACAAGCTTGTGCTCGAGTTGGGAATACATCCAAGCCAACGGGCACAAATTGTCCAAAAAATCCGGGACCTGATTACGATTTTGGGCAGCAGCCGATTCTAAAACGAAATATCGCGTACAAATTCGGCGGAGAAAAAAGAGATCAAATCTATGTTGGTCAAAAATCTGGTCAAGCGTACAGCTTTGACGCTGAAACAGGATATCTCATATGGACAGTGAAAACCGGACCGGGTAGCCCAACAGGTGGAATGGAATTTGGATCGGCGGCGGATAATAATTATTTCTACGCAGGTAATAACAATGCGGACTATAAAAGGTACATTCTACCCAATGGAAACAAGACAAATTCACCTGGATGGTCGTCGATCAATCTGAAAACGGGCAAAATACGATGGACAACGGTTGATCCTCATCGTACTGGGAGTGCTTTTGGACCGTTGACGGTTTGGAATAAACTTCTTCTTGTTATCGGTGGGGACCAGCCGGTAATCACTGAACCTGGTCAGACAGCGTCCACCATCCTACAGGGATGCGTCTATGGGCTTAGGAAGAGCGATGGTTACATTTTATATAAACGATGTTTTCAAAGTCTAATAGGCGGGGGAGTATCGGTGGTTGATAAAACGATTTATCTTGGTGTGGGTTATGATTTTGCAAGACCAGAAGACGGTCTGTACGCTCTTCAATTACCGTAGGCAACTTTTCTCGTTCATATTGCTGGCCTTGATCAAATATTCTATTAGTTTACTTTTATTGACTTCTCCTTGATTATTCTCTTAAAAATCTTTTACCTAGGGCTTATATATGTTGGGCATTCTCTACTTTTGAATCGTCTGCGGATCTTTTCGTTTTGGAGAATCATGCTAACTATTTGTTGTTACCTATACAGCGAACACACGCATATTTATAAAAGTAATACGAAAACTTAAATAAGTTGAATGACAACCTATTCAGAGTAAATATGCAGGAGTTAAGAAATATGAATAGAATTTGTTGTGCACTTATTTTGAGCTCAAATAAATCGTCAAGATAAGACGTGATCCGGACAGATTTAATTTTTTCTAATTAATTTTTGTATGAAAAAGAGGTTAACAAACGCCATGTGCGTTTATTTTACGCATGCGGATAAATTATCGCTACTTGTGGTCTCGCGATGTGATGAATAAAATAAATGAAATTAAATCGTATTAACTGCTGTTAATAACTCTTGAATAATATTTTTTTGCTGTCTTCGAACGTTAGCACACAAGATACATTGTTTATTTTCTATTTCAGATTTTAACGCGACTCTAACAAACTCATTCTTTTCATAATGTCGCTATATTTTACACAGAATAAGTAGTTAGTCTGATTAAACTAATTCATTTCTTTATTTTCATTTATGAGGATATTCATAAAAATACAAGCAGCATGTTCACTTTTTTTATCTCGTTTTCCTGACAGTAGGGTGCTTCCACACAGTTCGGTCTGCTTTATACAGACCTCATAGCCACCAAGGTTTCACCATGGTCATTGTGTGGAGTATAAAAAGTCAGGCATAGAGCATTGAACCTTGAAATTTTCTACAAGACAGACTACTTTTTAATTGAAACAGTAAAAGTTCACCGTTGAGACTAAACTAATTTAAGTTTATACCAGCCATTTTAGCTGTGTTTACCATAATTACTCCAAAAGTAATCCTGGTCAAGCGAAAGGCGCTCGCCAGAAATTGATCAGTACTAATTAGCGCCAATGAATTGTGGAAAGGTTTTACATTATTTGACAACGAAAAGTCACTCCTATTTATCAGCAAAGTATCAATGAAAATTGTGCGAGCTGTACAGCGAAATTTTTATTATTATAACTATCACAAGGCGTTCTAAACGGATTGGGTGACGTTCATTAAAAAGACTTCCATTAAAACGTTTTTTTTAATGGAAATATCGAAGCTTTTATTAAAAATGTTTTTAATGAAAGTCCCGCTACTTTCATTAAAATGTCTCATATACAACGGCTGTGACCTAGAGCTTCTGATGGCACAAAAATATTATTAAAATTTTAATGAACTGCCTTTTAGTGAAAGTTCTTGTAATGAAAATCAGTAAAACTCCCATATCCATTCTAAACAAACATTTCATTTATTAGTGTTGTTTTTAAGAATGAAATCAGTATAGCACTAGAGACCTGCTCGGATCAGGAAAACGTAACCCTACTATCAAAATGCCGACCCGACCCCAACCTGATAAATTTTTACCCTTTTGTTTTATTTACCTATTTTTATTTAGCGGAGGGCATCGCATTACAGGCGTGACCTTCTACTGATAGTCTGCTAATATTACAGAAAATATGGGCGTTATATCTTTCTAAATTCGCTTGTTATTAACTTTGCTTCCTGAACGAGTATAGTGTTTTCGTAAAACAACAGAACATGCTCAAAAAGGTCAGGACAACTCTATCGTTTTTCCTTTCAGATAATTAACCGTCAAATAATATTCTGCATAGTGAACATATACTGTAGTGTTTGGTGCGATGAAAACTAAAGCAGAAGGTTTGATAGGTAAATGAACCAGCTGATATGATAATATGAATAATATCCCGTAGAAGAACATTATCTTTCTGAAAAAAAGTCGACTTCCCAATCGCAAGGGTTCTCTAGTTTTTCTTTGTCTCACAAATGGGAAAGCCCGCACACGACAAAGCTAATTATCTTCTTTATTTTCTTCCCGTATCAGAATGTTTTCAGCAGGAAAAAATGCACGCAATATCACCTGTAATAAAGAAGAAATGCTATCATTGAAAATTGTGCGGTTTGGAAAAACATTGTTTTCTTTCAAGAGGAAAAGTTCAACCAACAAGCGAATTTAGAAAGTGCTATAATAGCACTTGACGACGGCTTTCAGCTCTGATTAATAAGACTGAAATAGATATGATTTAAAAGCTGTTATCTAATTTTTCTTGAGTTGAGTACAGTAATAGCTGAGTACTATCAATCATGAAAGTGAATGACATCAGAGGTAGATAATGTCCATTACACTGAACGCCAGTTTCTGATTCTTCTTATTAGTACGTCTAAATGAATCTTCTAAAACAGTTTACAACGCCGTGCAAATGGTCTGCGCCAATTCATTAAGCTACTTTTTAATAAATTAAAATTTTACATGGAGCGTTGAGGGATTTTAAATAATGCATTTAGTCAGTTCTGAAACCTTTCGTAATGATACTGGTAGAGAGAACGAAAATGCTAAGTTTGAAAAGGCTGTTGATAATATAATCATAGAAGAAAGTTCAATCGTTTTCTACGCTATCTTTTCCTAGAAACACTTTTAACTGTGAGCGCTTGAAAGCTAAGAATAACGAGAAAACTTCTCTTTTTTTCCTTAGTATACAGTGTGTGGCTATGATCCATGTACTAATTTGTTCAGTTTTTCATTGGCTATTTTTCTATATCAAATGTTACCATAACTAGATTTTGAACAAAATTATTTTTGTTAAGCACCAATATGCTTTATGTACCTCCTCAGAAAAGTTAATTTAAAAAGTCTCCATAAGGTTATAATGGTACATATGCATTTCAAAATGAGTAAAATCATTTTCTACAAAATCTGATCATAACTAAGTCGGAAAAACAGTGGGCCCAAAGCAATGGAAAAGCGGAGCCCCCTCCCCCTCTGTTCTAGTTACACTCTGATTCATCAAGATTTTGAATTCATACGAAGAATGGCACGAGAAAATATCCTCTCAGTTCGTTGATTCAATCATTCGACGAGAGTTAGACGTGGTCTTTGGATCAACAACCGTTGCTCCACAGCAAGCACCACACGAAAAGACGGACAATGTTGTTTTTCGAGTTTCATTGTTCGGCAATGCCAGCACAGCGTATACAGAACGTATCAAGACAGCCGTCAAAAAAAAGCTATCAAGAGAAGGTTGTGAGAATTGTTTACGATGCCAAAGTAAGAATTGCCAATGGATTCAGCACAACGGATAAAATATCCGATTGTCTGAAATCAGGATTAGTGTACGAAGTCACCCACCCCACGGGTGGAGATAAATACATTGGGAAAACTGAAAACAACGTAGTAACGACATCTGAAAACATGAGTGCATGAACATCTATAAGACCAAAACAAATACCAGTGGAATCGACCTGTGTGACGAAGACGACCATCTTTAAACTTGTCAAATAAGCAACCGTGTAGAATAGGTGTTATTGGTGAAATAAGTCCCGAAGAAAGTTCATTAATAAATTATTTAAGAGGAATTGAAAGTGGTAAATCATCATCATCATCATCATTAGAAACAATTGTAACATCTGCGCCACTTGTTTCATCGTAGTGGTAAAAGTACATATTGTACATTATAATTTCAGCATAAATATCCAAATGGTAACAATATAATATTGTGGATATTGAAGGTTCAATAACTGATACATATCTTAAATCAGGAAATCATTTTGATGTAATACGAAAAGCTGATTATGATGTTTATATTATTGTATCTCATAGCACATTTACTGATATTCACAGTGAAGGGACAAAATTTTATTGAACAAACATTGAAATGTTCATGTTTACTTGTACGAACGACAGTTGCTGATTGGTTTATTGGTACATTTGAAGAAGATTTTCAGAAAGAATAAAACATAATCGAAGACGAAAAAGGTGAATGTGAGCTGGGCATTGGCTTAAGGTTTTCCAGAAACCTTTTGAAAAACCTCAGTGCATCAGTGTTCTGCTGGATCACTTTTTCGGCGTGGTCAACAACAACATATGGCACCTTTTAAGCCTTTCCTGAAAATTTCCTTGAGTCAACATGAGATTTGATGGAGATATAAGGATTTTAATTTTTGCTAGTAACAGGCGAAAAACCGGTTTTTCACAACAATGCCTCTGGCAAAGTTATATTCATTTCTACACAAAAACAAATGTTGCTACTATGCTCAGCGTAGTCGATTACCTATAGTCCATGGCATTTTGAGATTCTCAGAGATGTCTGCTCGGAAACAGACACGTGCTCGGGGAAAGCGGGCCCCGCCCGAACGACGCTAGCTAGAGAGCCGGGACTTGAATAATTTTGTAGAGTAACGTCCGAACTATCTACGCATGCAAAAAAATTACTAACATTGTATGTTAGTTTTTTGAGAACGGAGCTGGTTTTCCAAAGATTCTCTGAAAACCCGATCTCTAGAATTTTTTCAAAAGTTGCTTCAGCTTATGAAAAGTTCTGCTCAAGTCTTGGCTATTGAACAGCGAAGGTCACAGGTCTCTATGTCATTCCTATCAAAAGTTATTCAAAAAATGCCCACGGGTCTTGTATCTTGGGATGAATAGTAATATTTGTTTTTGTCGCGGTTATGTCAAGGGGGAGAAAACTGATTTGAGGATTTTGAAGATTTTAAAAGATTTGGAGGGATTTGGATCGATTTGAACAAGATTTCAATAGATTTTCTGTTTATTTTGACTCTCTCTGACCACATAACGTCA